TTAATTTTTCTTTTGTTCTTATAATTTTCTTCACTTCTGGACATAAATTATATAGAAATTGCCCAAATGCTCTACGTATCTGATTGCTTTTGTCTATACTTTTAGCCCTTATCAAGGATGATTTTATTTTTACTTTTAACTGAACATATGGATTGTTTTATATATGTATTTAAAGTGATGGGAATGTTTTATTTTCCAAACACAGTCAACACATTGTGGCCATGCTCATAGTTGATATTATAAAGTAAAATTTCAGAAGGTTAAGATTAGCATTAAAAACAGTAGCAGTGGGTCATGTTTGTATTAAAATATTAAAACATAACCCCCATAGGGTTGTAAGATAATTACTATTTCTGCAGCCTTAGCAGCAGTGATTTTTCTGAAACCAGTTAACCTGATGGAGCTCATCCTACTTCAGGATGGTTTTGAATTCAGAGTTTTCCTCCTAAACTCACAGAACTTTCTCATAATGAAACCTACAACAAAAATGTGGAGAGACCAAAGACATCAAAACCAGAAGTAAGATTAGCACTAAAGAACACGAAAAGGAACAAAGCAGAAATGCTTTCAGACTCAGACAGTTTTGGCATTGACAAGATCACAGAAGTAAGAAATGAAATAATCCAGAGTCGAAATATACTGAAGGACCTCACTAAGAGACCAAGTATCAATTAATGTGAGTGCCATTGCACGATCAGCTTAATGAGCCACATAATCAAACTAATGATGCAAATCCTGATGAACAGAGTGCAAAGCAGAATTAGACTGAAAGTAGGATAACAACAGTGCGGTTTTGTCAAAGACACCAGAACAAGAAATGTGATATTCATGATCAGAAAGAAATCAAGGAGATCAATACAAGTACAGAAGGATGTGCACATATATTTTATAGATTACGCAAAAACATTTGACAAGGTATGACACAAGGAGCTATTTGAACTGTTAAGAAAACTCAATCTATTTGGAAAAGATTTTAGAATAATCCAGAACGTATACTGGGAGCAAACCCTATGCATACAGAAAGAAAATGAATTGAATCTGGAGACATATTAGAATGGCCAAAGATGCTTTCCAAAAGCCAAGCAGAGTATTAAGTGACAGAAAAATTTCATTAGAAACAAAGAAAAGAGTACTGAACTGTTGAGACCAAAATGCAAATTACAGCTTTGGCATATTAAAATCAAGCAGGTATAGAAATTTAAATATCTGGGAAATGTTCTAACAGAGGACAAAAAGTGGGACACTGGAATCTGAAGATGTATTGGGATGACCAAAGATGCATTCTAAAAGCTAGGCTGAGTATTAAGTGGCAGAAAAATTTTGTTAGAAACAAAGAAAAGAGTACTGAACCGTTCTGTGATATCTGTCCTCCTGTACGGCAGTGAATATTGGACAGTCTCCTCAAAGATGAAGAAGAGACATGAAGTAACAGAAGTGTGGTTCTGCAGAAAGATGCTGAGGATGTCATGGACCAAACATGTAAGCAACAACAAGGTCTTGGAGAGAATAGAAATAAAGAAGAAACTCATACTTAACAGGAAGAGGCAGATGAAATTTCTGGGGCACATTATGAGGAAGGAGGGTTTAGAAAATATGATCCTCACAGGACAGATAGAGAGAAAGAGGGACGGATGAAAGCAGCACATAACATAATTGATGGGATTGAACAAATGGATGGTGGAACAGAGTTTGGGAGGAATAACAAAAAGACAAAACTTATTAAGAGCTACAAGGGACAGGAAGATGTGGATGGCCATGATCACTTATATCCTGGAGGGACATGGCATATAAAAGAAGTTACACAAAAATAGGAAGGAGTGTAAGACAAGAATGTGTCTTCTCAGATTTATTCAAACTCTAAAGTGAGGCTATCCAAAGATAGCTGGAACCCTGACCAGGATTTGTTATCAGTGGGTGTAATCTTAAAAATATAAGATACACAGATGGAATTATCTGTCTATATCTCTGAGATGAGGTATTATTTACATTATTCAGACTGTTATCTTCATCTTCATTGCTATATTCAAAATGTCTCTCTAAAGTGAGGCTATCCAAAGGTAGCTGGAACCCTGACCAGGATTTGTTATCAGTGGGTGTAATCTTAAAAATATAAGATACACAGATTGAATTACCTGTCTATATCTCTGAGATGAGGTTATTATGATTACTTACATTATTTACATTATTTGGACTGTTATCCTCATCTTCATTGCTATATTCAAAACATTTCCCCCTTTGTACACTCTGGTCTCCTTCAGGTGATTGGAATTATGAACCAAACACTTTATTTCATCCACTGGGGTAGATTGTTCTAGTTCCACGCTAGACCCAATAAGTTGTGTGTTCAATACCAGGCTTCAGCAATGGTGAATCAAAACTTGGAGAGTTGAGCTAAAGGGAAATAACTGAAACATCTTGAAGAGGCATGGCATGTGGAATGAGAACAATCTACTCCAGTGGATGAAATAAAGGGTTTAGTTTGAAATTCTAATCACTTGAAGAAGGCCAGAGCGTACAACGACTGAAACGTTGTGAATATGGCAATGAAGATAAGGATAACAGTCCAAATAATTTAAATAATGTAAGTAACAGATGGCATTGTGTTGATGTCTAAGCTGAAAAGAAAACTACAGGATCTCCGAGAGATGGTGGTAGAAGAAAACAAGAAAAATGACTACCCACCAACTGCAAGAAGACAAAAACTATTGTCATCAGCAAGAGAAAAAGCCCAAGGCATAAGTTAAAAAATGGAGATGTCAGCATCAAATGAGTTCAGAATTTTTAATATATGGCAAATGTCTCAATAGAACATGGAAAATGTGATGCTGAAATCTGAAACACAAAATGAGCTTGCAAAAGAAACATTTCAAAAGATAAATAAAGTACTGAGAAATGAAAAAAATTGTTAGAAACAAAGAAAAAAGGCGCTGGATTGCTATGTGATATTCATCCTCTTATATGATGATGAAGGCTGGACAATTTCCCCACAGAGAGGGAGAAAGCTGGAGGCAACAGAAATGTGGTTCTACAGGAGGATACTGAGAATTTAATGGACAGAGTGAGTAAGCAACAAGGAAATTTTAAATAGCAACAAAAAGAATGCTTATGCTCAGAATCAGGAAGAAACAGCTGAAATTCCTTTAAGAAAAGAGGACTTGAAAAATTTAACCCTCACAGGGAAGAGAGATAGGAGAAGGCAATGAGCCACCTACTTAAGGAATTTGTCTGAATGGATGATAGAACAGAGGGAAAGAGCCTTAGCAAAGGGAGAAAAATGCTAAGAGTCATAAGAGATGGGATGTTGTGAAGAGCCACGACCACACATATCCTGAAGGCACACAGAACAAGAAGAAATTCATTGTCATCTCAAAGCAAGAGAACCCAATCTGCCTTACTATTTAACCTATAGCTGGAGGAAAATGTGTTCATGCCTTTTCCAAGAGCCTTAGTATGAAGTGAACAAAACAGTTCACTTACCATTGTGGTAGCCTGCATTAATTGCAAATATGTTTTGTTATCTAATTTGTCCTGCAAACATTTTTTTATTGGGAAAGGACAAATACTGGTGTGACTGGGGCAAGATCACCTGAGAGAACCCATCTTTCTCCAGGTTGGTTTTGAATAATGTTTTCCTTCTCTTAGACTTGTTGCCCTGTCAAGGCTAAATAGCTCAGTCTACCCTTGTATTTAGGCCATAGCTGAAGGAAGATTGCTTATGTTCCAAGGGTTTTAGTCTAAAACTCCAAAAGATCAGAACTCATTTCAAAATCCAAGCATGAAAGCAAATTCCAAAAATGCTACCTACAACCACATTATAACCAAAGTGACTCAATATAATCAGCACTGAATTTTGCAGGAAAATAATTTTTGTACATTACTCTTCATTAGACCTTCTTCAAATCATATTTGTCAGAATTGTAAAATTGAATACAAGGTTTTCTTTCTCCAAGACTAGTTGCCAACTCAAGGCATTTTGCCCTAAAATGTAAACTATAATGGGTGTAAGATATGTCCGTACCTTTTCTAAAAGCATTACTGAAAATACAACTTGTGCTAATGTCCTTACTACTGGTGTAAATCTGACTTAATGTTAAAGATGTTTTGTTATCTCATTTGTCCTGCAAAAAATGAAAATATTCTTTTTTATTGGGAAAGGGCACATACTGGTGTGTCTAGGGCAAGAATGTCTAATTGAGACCATCCTTTTTCAAGCTAGTTTTGAATTCAGAGCATGCCTCCTTCTAGATTGGTTGCCACCTCAAGGCAAGAGAGCCTAGTCTGTCCTGCTACTTAACCCATGCCTTTTTCAAGAGCCCGAACAGAAAGTGAACAAGACAGTATTAAGTGGGAATTGAACCTGGCTCACCGGATTCACCTTCTGCACTGATAAACATTACACCATCCCAGCATGCTACAAGCAATGACACGTGCAATTAAATACACCAGTGTAGATTTGCAGAATGTTTATATGTAACCCCCCCCACACACACACACAAAAAAAACTTCTCCATACGTGTGAGATTCATGTATGTGCACACAAAGGAGGCAAATAAATTTTTGATAATTAATACGAATATTAGGTTTGACAAACAAGAAAGTATCTTTAATTTAATGTTTTTTTTCACACCATCCACAAGAAGGTAAAGACGCAAACGGCTTGAAAAATTAACCTTGCTTACTTCTTTGTTAATCGAATTGTGTTCTTTATAATTGCATTTCATAGATAAAGCTATACACACTCATGAGAGAGAGAGAGAGAGAGAAGAGTGGAAGAGAGAGAGATGTGGAAGTGAGAGAGTGTGCTCAATCCATAATGTATGATTTTACTTATGTATATTGATACAGATAAGTAGATCCATCTGTCTACAATCTTATCTACTTGTCTACTGAATTTTGTCACATCTATCCATATATTGATCTATGTATATACTGACCTTTGACATATATATATATACTTATATACTTTTGCAGTACATTTCTCTACATATAAATTACATCAGTGTCATGATATCTATCTCATCCTGTTTCAATCTATCTATCAATTTGTCTATGTCATTCTGTTTCTATCTATATATTTCATTCTGTTCCACTCTATCTATCTATCTATCTATCTATCTATCTATCTATCTATCTATGTGTATATATATATATATATATATATACATAAATACATACATACATACTTACATATATATAGTTCTGTTTGCTATCTGTCTATTTAAATATCTGTCTCAGTTTGATCTATCAATCTGTTTGTCTCTCTTTCTCTCTCTCTCTTTCTAATATATATATATCATTCTATATCTATCTCATTCTGATCTATCTCTGCCTGTCTGTCTGTCTGTCTGTCTCTCTCTGTCTCTTGCTCTCTCTTATTCTATATTTATCTATCTATCTCATTCTGATCTATCTCTGTCTATCTGCCGGTTTCTCTCTATGTCTGTCTGTCTGTCTGTCTGTCTGTCTGTCTCTCTCTCTCTCTCTCTCTATATATATATATATAATTCTCTTCCTATCTATCTATCCCTATCTATTTATGATTTTTGTCCTCATATGTTGA